TCTCACTGGCCAACCAGGGATAACTTGGGGTATTTCCTCATTCTCAGAGAGAAACAGCTATTTGTTTAATAGAGGCTGTCACCCAAAAACATCCCCGTGCCTCGCTCAGACGGACACGCTCCAGGAGAGAGGAGCTGGAAAGCCTGAAGCTGGCTGTGGGGAACTCTGGAGGCCATCTTAGCCCTGCTTAGAAGGTAAGCAAAAGTATTTACATGCTTACGGTAGCATTAAAAAGCAAAACTTTCTAAAAACCTCACTAAAAATTAGAAGCTTGCTCTAGCCACCTTGCTTAATGAAGCTGTAGAATGTGCTTTTGGTTGGTGAATTAATAAAGTGTTTCAGTGCTTCTGGCAAACCCAGAGTGTTTTCCTAAGCTATAATAACGCATGCAGATCCTCTGATGTGCACAGGTGGCAAAGCGGCATTGATTTTGGTGGTAGAGGCTCTCACTAGGTCTGATGATTGTTGTTTAGGTAAGTTCTTCCTGCAGTTTGAAGTGGTATTGAGATAGGTCAGAGAGAAAGGGCTGGAACCCCCAGCTGTTCCAGCCAAAGCAGCGTCAGGTTGCTTTGTGCCGTACAAGAACTGGGCCCTCCAGCCACATACGAAAGATGCAGAAGAGAATTCATAACTTAACTACAAGGCTTAGCTTTTGCAGAAGGAGCCTAGGCTGTGCCTGTGCTTGTTTGCTTCTCTCTGGGGAGGGGAGGTAGGTGAGGTTGGGCAAACAAATGGAAAAGCTAAAGCTGGAATGAGACAGGAAAGCAGGCAGGCAAGAGTTAGTGTAAAAACATAACCTTATTTGAAAGACAGGTGGTTTGAAAGGCAGGTGAAATATCCAGTATTCTTTCCATTTTCCTCCATTCCCTTTCCCCACTTCATCTTTCACTTGCACATTGTTGGTCTGTTTAGATTTTTATCTCTTTGAACTAGGGCTTTCTCCAGAGGCTTGCAAAATGCTTTGCCAAATTTTGAGCACTGTGTAAACAACAGATAATGACCATAAACACAGAATTATCTCTGTTAAAAATGATCCCATCTGGAATATTTTCATGCCCGTTAGCTTTTTTTAAACATGGATTATAAAGCTCAACATGACAGCAAAGTGCTCAGAAGAAAATGCATACAAGAACAGTGCTCTTGTTGAACTCATAGCAGTAGAGAACAATGCAAATTTTTTGTATAGAAATGCAAATTAGAAGTCTCTATCAGCCACAGCTGCTTCTCAGCAATATATGGCACCCCATAAAGTCTTTCTGTTTTGCCTCTCAGTTGAATAGGTCAAAGGACATCTCACCTGATATCTTACCCTATCTCTTTACTGTCTTCCTTCTGTCGCCAAGATCTGTTTTAGCCTATGTCTGCCTTTCTCAAATGCCTTCAAGCTACCTTTCACTTGGGCCTTTTTCTTGCTTGGGAACCCAGCCTTGATGGATTTCTGTGTTCCTAGCCTGCCTAATGACTGCTCCACACCAATCTTTGTCATAAAGCTTTCCAGATTAGCCAATGCATATGAGTAAATTGAGGAACATTTCACCGCTGAGTGCCTCAGTAATTACAAAAACTATTTGCACATAACAAGCAAAGGCACCTGCGTGAGCATGAAATGGCGTGTGCCCATGTCCTTATCCTTCTCTTGCATTTGGGAACTGACTCACAGGAGAGCAAAGCCCTTTTTGTCATAAACTGACAGTTCTCTCTGAGGACAGAAGTCCATAGCTTGTCCACAGCTTGATATTTTGTATTTTCACGCACATTTTTTATTTTTATGCATTTGAAAGCCTTGAGCTGGAATGAAGCGATAATAAAACATCATGAAGAAGTTGTGATGAGTTTGTGCCATAAAGTTGAAGGTGGTATGCAAGTTCAATAATCACTGACCCAGTAGTCTGAAATTTCCAAATTGAAGGCACATGTATGGATCCACTTCTGTATGGATCAGGCTTTTCTCTCTGGCTGTAGATCACAACATGGATGCAGTGTGAGCTGAGGTTGTAGACTTTGGTGAAGAGGGGTCTAATAACAGCCTATGAAAAACTGGGGTGTGAACAGAGGAGATGGAGTGGTGTGAGAGGATATAATGGGGAGCAACAGCCCTGTTTACAGCTTTGGAGATTCAGGCTGGACGCCAGAAAAGTCTTTTTCATCAAGAGATTGGGTCAACTCTGCAACAAGTCACCCAGAAAGGCAGTGGTGGCTCCACCCTTGTAGGTTTTTAAAGCTCAGCTACACAAATCTGTGGCTGACACAGTGACCTAGTGTTGGTGGTAGTCCTGCTTTCAGCAGGAGATCAGACTGGACACCTGCAGAGATCTCTCTCAACCAGTGCTTCATTTATGTACATTCCTCGATTTTAAATAAAGAACCTGGATGCTATGAACTACTAAGCTACTGTATCTGAAAATGACATGGGATGTTTTTTTGACCTGCCCTTAGCAAACAGACACAGAATTAGACGAGATTGCAGTTTTTCAGCTACTTTAGGGTGGGTGCCAAGCAGGCCTATAATCCACAGTCTTATCAACCCTTTCATGCAGAATAATCATGTCACAGTAAACAATAATAAATATTTCTCCAGTTCTTGCTGAAGGTGTATTTTTGACTGAAATAGAGGAAATGCAGCTGGTAGGCACCTTGGGGAGGCTTCCCTGCTTGTCTCAGTGCCAAGGTAGGGTTGAACATTCACATGGTATCCTTGGTAGCCATTTCCTGTTCTTCAACACCTTCAATGCAAGAGATTTCAAATCAGTTTCCCAAGACAGTGGTCCCATAAAACCCAAGGCATCTGTAATGGATTTAGTGCTGGCTAAACGTTACTGCACCCACTAGAAATTATTTACTCATTTCTTGAAATGAGATATGGATTAGGAGGAGGAGGGCAAAACAGGCTCAAAATTTTAACTGGTTAAAGAGAGCTTTATTAACAGAATTAAAAGAAAAATTATAAGAAAATCAGAACAGATCTTCAGAACACTTATCTTCCCTCCACACTCTCTTTTCTTTCCCCCTGGCAACATGAAGAGACAAAACTTGGAACTTTTAGTCAGTTTACCACTTCTAAAATAATCTTTCTTTAGTTTACTTAGGGAGAGGATTCTCTCTTGCCATGCTATGGAGACTTTTTTACAAGAAACAGTTTTCTCATGGCTTTAATGTCATAGCGAATCAGCCACCTGAGAAAGGAAAATTTTTGCAGTGTGAAGGTCTTTCTTATGCTTTGAAGCTTTCTCAAAGCTGCTTCTATGGGCTATGTCAGCTCATGGGGTATAATTTTAAGGATAAGCTGTTTCAGCATAAAAACAAAATTTCTTTTTTTTTATCTCTGGGAACAGAAGTTTTTCTTCTTCTATCCCTAGGGCAAAGTTTCTCATCTCTCTTATCTTTTTCTGTTTAAGTTTTTTATTGGATTATAGCTTTTTAGCATTTATATGCTTTAGCATGAGTGGGTTTTTTTCATGGGCTGCAGATGAATGATGCATTTCTTTATGCACTTTATGAATTATAGGGAAAAAATGAAGTTTGATATATCAAAAAATATATCTCCACCACGGCCTCACAAAAGAATTTCAGCCCAAGACTAAGGCATCTCCTTGATTCTTTCCCATCTAGTATTTGACATCTTTACTTACTTCAGGGTTCTGCGTTGTTTTCTCTACATGCCTTCACTCTTTTTTTTTCCTGATTTGGGAGAGAATTCATGTTTGTATGTTCGTTTGTTCTTAAGCTTTATCAATTGAAACAGTTTTGATAGTCTTGTAGCATTGACAGGTTGATCTCATTTAGGCTCTGCAATTGAGGAATGGCTGTGTCTTTTGCTGCTGGTTACATGGTCCCCGCCAGCACTGTGCAAGCCACACTGGCTGCCAGCACCACCCCTGTGCTTTTTCTTCATGCAAGGCACCAGAAAAAGAAACAAAACTGCTGCTGCTTTTGTCTTTCTGCTTGCAGCGTGGCTGGCTAAAAGTGGCTAAGCAAATCAAGTCTATTGTGAGTCACGCTGAGATAGTGGTGGCCACATGCCCTCAGCCCCATGGCTGCTCCTGGACTGGGCTGGCAGCGGCTAGTTTTGGCCCTGGCCACCTCTGGCCTTGGGGCCGTCTTTTGGCCCTGGCCTCTTCTGGCCTTGGGACAGTCTCCAGCGCTGGCTGCAGGACCACTGCTGGAGCTGGTCTTGGAGTAAAGCAAAGTTTATGTGGGAGCCATGCTGAGACAGCCCTGGCTGCACGGCGCTGTCTCAGCCACACCAACTCCAGCCAAGCATCCCGGCTGCGCGGTCATCCGCAGCACCAGGACATTCTCAGTGGCATGGCCTGGAGGCAGCAGAAATCTGAACCAAGTCACGCGCTGACCCGACCACATGGGCCATGTAAGCCTGGCCTGGGCAGGCCTGGTCAAGCCGCAAGGGGCCAGCCTGGGCCTGGCTAGTTACCCCTTCAGAGGCTGGGAGCCAAGAGAGCTGCACACGCTAGCCCGTCCTTAAATGTGTTTTCATAAAGCTGTATCCAGCTCTTCTAAGTGGTTTAAATGGGTGTCAGTCTCCAAAACTAGCCCTCTGACTGGTAACGGGGATGTCAATCTTTCCCCCAACTGAAAACCAGGCTTGGTTAAACCAGGATAGCATCCGCCTCCCCTTCCACTCTAGGCCTTAGCCCTGACTGCCAGCCAGGGTATCTGTGGAGTCATGGTTTTGTGACTGATATTCCCAGTGGACAGACAATTGTCCATTAAAAACTGAAATGAAACTCTCTGGTAATTTCCTACCAACACAATTTTAAATAAATTCAATTAAACATCGCAGCTGTGAATAATTAAATTTTAAATAAATTCTCTGAAGGGAACAGGGTCTGTAGAACAGGATTATCTGTGTATGTCTTACCTGAAACATTTCTTTTTACAAAATTGATTCTTCTTTCATTAAAGTATAAAACTGCTGAAAACTGGTGCTCCCTGCTCTGCAGTAATCCAAACCTCCCTGTATCTTTCCTGAGCAGAGAGCTGCCATGTGCACTGGGAAGTGTTCAAAATGCATTGGGATCACCCTCTTCCCACTGGCAGTATGTGCCATTGTCTCCAACATTCTCCTGTACTTCCCCAATGGACAAGTACTGCAGCTCAGCGAGATAACTGATTTGGTCTGGTTTTTCCACGGCATTCTGGGAGCTGGGATACTGGTAAGAGATGAACATTTCTTGTGAGCTTTGTTCAGTTTTGTTTTAAATCTCCATTTAAAAAAGGTTATAAAAATGTGTTTTGCATAAACATGTGAACAGCTTAAATGAGAAAATGGGTATGAACTGAGAAAATGCATTTATGCATTTAAGGCATAAAAAGTGTCTAGTCAAAGAAATACAAAACATTCCTGAAATAAATATCAAGACTCCAAGAAGCACTAGGCCTAAGTACTCACTGTGGAGAAGAGTCACACATGTTCATCCTCCAAGAGTGAAAGCAAAGTTGAGGTCAGCTGGAGGCAGTGAGTTTTCACTATTGTCTGCACCCCTGATTAAAAAAAAAACATTAAGGGAAAATAAAAAATGTGTTTCAGCAGGTGTTAGTTTGAGACCCAGCTAACACTTTACAAATGTGGAGTTGAAAATGGCTTAATAAGCTGAATGCCTCCTGTTCCCACACTCCCACCCACCTTCTTTTGAGTTGGATCTGGTTTGAATGTGCTCTTCTATAACTAGTTCTCCATTCCAGGCCTCAGGAAAGATCACTTTTATGTGAATATCCATGTTGGGGAATACTTATCTTTCCAGTTCATCAGAAAGCCTGCTCCCCTTGTGCTCTTTCAATTATCTACCCAAGTGCAGTTAAAAAGCTGAGCAAGTAACATGCATATGACCAGTACTGGGCAGATGGCAGACTGGCACAGAGCTGGCCAAAAAACAAATGAATCTTTAAAAATAATTAACTTAGAAAAAAATAAATCTCATTCACAGTCAGCCTGTGATGCAGCTGCTGCTTAAGCCTATGGAACGCCTGCAGTGGATCTGGTTCATACTCATATTTCCCAAAGCAGAAACACAGCATAAGGTGATTCAATAAACTGTTCTCCACCAGCAGCTTGTCTGCTTCTTCTTGTGGCTACCACTTGGGCCTATTACTCATGCTGACCTTGAACATAAGCATGAGTTTGTAGGAGGAAGAAGTGCAACTACGTGAGACCTTGTGGAAAACTCGTATCACTGCAAGCCCAGGAGCCATTGGCATTCAATGAAAGGAAAGGAAAGATGTTAGGCATGAGAGCGTCAGTGGCTCATTGAAAACTTGCCTTCTTTTAAGGCTTCCACACAGATTTGCCTGTGGCCAGCACCACATACATCAAAAATGAGAACAGCTAGTCAGAGGAGAGGAAAAATTTGCACTGACCTTCAAAACACAACTAGGAGTAATTGATCCGCAAACAATGCTGTTGAGTGTACATGTTTTCCAGAAAACAACATGAGAAATGCCCACAGGTAAGGGGAAACAAAGCATTATCAGCAGCTCCATCTTCCAGGCGCTGGAAGCATGGGAAGATGAAGATTGGCTTTTCAGTGTCCTAAGCAGTTAAAACAAGGGAGAGAATGTTCCACGACTGGAGTCTGATCCATATCCTGACACTACAGTGAGGAAAGATGAAGCTGCAATATGTTCCCCCAAGCACTTGGATACCTCCCAAAGGAAACTGAGGCAAGCCTTGCCAACAGGTCGCCTGATCTTGGAGAATCTCCCCACAACTAGGATGCTGCCTCCAGAGTCAAGACTGTGAGAGAAACTTCAGAACAGCCTGGCTTAGCTCTGTGAGCCAGTAAATTCTCTCCACCTAGGAACTTCATCTGTAGACTGATACACAGATCATCAGTACCCCCTTTGGCTGAGTAGCCAGCTCCACCCTTTCCTCCTCTGCTGAATTTCTAATGGAAATTATATGACATGAAAACCTCTCAATTTCCTTGTTTCAAATATTTGGGATGTAAAGAGAGTAAGACTGGCTCTATGTGTCACAGTAACGCCTTTCCTCATAGAAAGCCTGTGCACAACAGAAGGAAATGCCTGACTGAGCCATGGCTCACACACAGCTCTTGTTTTACTGACAGCAGCCAAACCCAGCCAATTCTCATGCCCGTGTCAAAAGGCAGATGTTTATAATCAGGCACTGCATAAAAAGAAGGCTGCCAAGCAAACCCTTCATCCTGAGCCAGGCTAATAGATGACACAAAAGTGTTTGCCACTTAGATGGGAAACCTCGAAAGAAAAATGACAGCCCTGGAGGAACAGGAGTGTTGGTTTGATGGGCAGAGGTATTAACTCTCCTGAGTGCCTGACAGTAGATCACTGGGGTTGAAGCTGCCTTGGGGACCATTTGTGATTATTTAAGAGTGGACTTCCTTGCAGGAAGAGGAACATCTTTTTAACCTCAATGCTCTATTTCTGCAGGCTTCCAGATGCGGTCCAGCCACCACTGCAGGTGCTGTAGGTTGCCTCTAGGGTGTGCATAGAAGGCAACAGAGAATAAATTCTTTGAAAAATATCTAGGTGCCTACAAATCTAAGCAAGTCTCATAAGCATGTCCCACACTGTTCAACAGAGATATTTACACTACACACATAAATTCTGTGGGCTTTGTTCATCATGACCATTCTGCTCTTCCTGCCCTGCGTGAGAAAAAATCTTGCCAGCATCTAGTTAGGCCATTTTTACAGTTTTTACCTTTTATGTTTGTTTGTTTGATTGATTGATTGATTGATTGATTGACTGATTTGGGTTCTTCTTCTTTCATTAACTTTATCGTAACCATTTCCTAATTTTTTAAATACTCCTTTACTTGTGCTGCTCTTTGAGATGCTTGAACCAGGACTGGTGTGTAGAGACAAGGCAGTAGGAGTGTGCTGGCTGCAAAGCCAGACCCACAAAAGCTTTCTTGCCCTCTGGCTACCAAACTGAAGGCAACTTTTTCTAACTCCAGTGTGCCTGTAAGGCAGCATTATATCTCCAGTCATAGATGGTTACTGACTGCATTGCATTGGTCCAGCTCTGCCTGATAATTACCATGGTGAAAGCTAATGTGAACTGGAAGTTCCCCATTGACTGAAGTCCATCTTGTAGGTTTTCCAGAAATTCAGCACAAATACCCCCTACCCAAACCAAAGTCAGATCTGTTTTAGGAAGTTCAAGGCTGATTTCCTAATTATAATCCAGAGCAGAATGCTCAGGAGGTTTACACTGACCATAATTCTTAGTCCAGCTACCTATCTTTTCTGGGCAGAAATTCAGTTTTCTCAAAACTGACATATTTTTTTCCAAATAAAAAACCCCAACAATACTGTGCTGAACCTTTATATACCGTGAAAAAAAAGCAGTATAGCTTCAGCAATCAGAATTGATGTTCCATCAATTTGCCAGACAGCTCTAGCTGTAATCCCACACTTATTTCTGAGTAACTCTTCAGCAGCACCAACATCCAAGCAGGTATAACTTCCAGAGAAGAGACAGAAGGTGACTTGCATTTGAAGAACATGATGCCCAAGCTCTTAGAATTTAAAAAGCACCCTAGCAGAAGTGCTGCACACTTATTCAAAGCCTGTGCTTTTCTTACAGGTTTTTTTGCCGGCATTCATGATGCTGGGAGCGGGTGGAGCAGGATGTTGCGCTAACAGATGTGGGGTAAGTGGATATTCATGTGTTGAAATGGCACTACAGAGTTTGTGAAATAGCTCTTGAAATGGCTGCTCAGCGGGTGGAAATGTGCAGTGACAAACCATCCCTCCTCTGTCAGCAGCCATGTCAGGGAAACAGAGAAGAGGAGCTTGATCTGCAGCGTCCCTGGGCTGCGGCTGAGGGCTCAGTGAGCCAACAAGAACGTTGTGAAGCTGCAGCTGCTGATAGGAGGGAAATCAGCCAGGGCCAGGGCTGGAGCCCTCAGGCACAATGCTGAGGGCAAAGGGGGCTACATCCCATGAAGTAAAACATGGTTCCAGCTTCCTTGAGCTCCCCTGCTCAAGGCAATCACAAAGACTGAGACAGTTGCCTGTTTTTCCTGCTTCCACAGAGTCCTGTTTCCTCTATACTCTTCCATGGCAATCTGCTTTTCCACAGGTTCATCCCTGCTTTTCCCTGTAGGGATACACACATTCCCTATTGGCAGGTCCATGCCAAAAGAATGAGATATTGCATCTGGCACTGAGGAGCCAGCACTGCTTCCTGCAGTTCTCACCAGTAACTCACATGTGCCCAAATATTATACCTGTGAAATGTGAAAATGCAATTTAGGCTCTTTGACATCTAAAGAAAGACCAGAGAGATGTTTTCCTTGATAATTAAGAATATTATAAAGCAATATGTTATAAAGGCATCTCCATTCATCCTCATGCCCTGGGCACAGACTTCTGTGTGGCTATCATTATCGGCCCGATAAACAGACTTAGAATTTATTTTTTAGTCTGCATCATTCCCAGAAGCATCCTGGAATGAGAGATTCCATGCAATAAAGCACGTCTCTTCTGTACTCTTCAATTAATATTTAGTCTGATCCATGAGAAAACCTTTGCCTCTTTAAAAAATTTTACTTAAGTTAATTCATGATACAGAATACCAAAATAGCATTCTTTATTAGGATGTCACACATTAACAGGCACATCCCAAGGGACATGCCATTACATTGATTTTACCAAATGTCACATGCACAGACAGAAAGTTGACAATGGCCAAGCAGGCCAGTTGCAGAGCTGGGGTGAGATCCTAGGCACCCTGCAAACAGTGCCTGAGCCAGCTGCTTTGCTTGACTTTGGGTGATGTAGAAAGCAGTGATGAAACACAGCTACTGCTGTGGTTCCTATGCTCACTGAATCTGTTAAGTCACAAGGGGAAATCCAGCTGAACTGGGCTGAGTTCACACAACATCTCAGGTGTCTCTCCTCCATCTTTCATCCCAGCCCTAAATATTACAGAGCCAAGAGTCAAACTTCCCCAGGCTGGCTGGTTTCACTCCCCAGCCCAACAACACAGGTGCAAGCACAGTGTCATCCACAGACCCACCACAATCCTCCATTCTCCACCTCCTCTTTCACTGTCTGAGCCATTCCTAGCAGCAGTACATCATGCCAGTTACCCTGTCTGCACCTTCCCATCACTGATTGGTTACCTACAAGCTGTTCTCTTCTTTATTTGCTGTTATGGAGGAATAAAATAGATGTTAATACAGTAATTTGATTATGCACTGTGATATTTTGTAGAATCAGGAGAATCACAGATTCATTGAGGTTGGAAAAAAACTCCAAGTTCATCAAGTCCAACCTTTAAATGAATACCACCAGGCCCACTAAACCATATCACAAAGGGGCTGAGGCCAAGTGACAAAGCTACCCAAGGCAAAGTGGAAAACAGGCTCGGTGAGGACTGTCTATCTATGAAAATGCTGTCTTTTTGAACACACACCCCTCTGGAGTCATACACCTCTGTGAGGTGGAAATGGTGAAGCTCTTCTCCCTATGTTTTAAACAGTCTGTTTGAGATGCTCAAAGTAGGGATGAGATGGGGACATGAGTAAAGAGTGAATGGCTGTGAACAACTAAAAACAAGTTTACCCTGCACAGCTCCTGGGGAAGAGTGATTTCCAAATGTTCAAAAAGAGGTCAGTGTTGCAGGGAGATCTGAAGGCTGAAGGTCTGCTTCTTTAAGGGATGAAACTTCAGGCAAAATGTGCTTTGTGGAGAGTGGAGGGAAATGCACAGGCATCCAGAGCAGGGGTGCTCAGATGTCCTGACTATAAGGGCTGTATATGCAAGGCAGGGTAGGTATGGTGTGAGGCCCTGGAGAGCAGAGAACTCCTGGGATTGGTTCAAACATCCATAGTATCAGCAACCTCCCAGAGTGACAGAGCTCCTTGGGAGGTAGGTCTGGATGGACTTGCAAAGGGTTCCCCACCTACTGGCAGAGAAACAGCCCTCATCGAACTGCTCAGGAGCCTCTGTAATCCAAAGGCAAGTTTGGGCACCTTTCTGCTTTGGAGATCTTAGGTATAAAATGATAAATTACACTTGAATACTCCAAATTGCAGAATTGCTTGCCATAATAAAAATGGGGAAAAAAGGTTAAAGAATTATTACTGGTCAGAATTACTGTTTAATCAAAACATAACATTTTGCTCAGGGCAGGAACTCTGTTCTATTTTATTTTGCACAATTCCTGGTTTAATAGTTTCAGACTTCATCAAAGCCTTTACACACTGCCAAAGTATCTTCAACAGTAATAAAAATAATACGTTTCTCATACTTTTTATTCACTTTAGTAAGTTTTCCAGTTCACAGTGATTACATGCTACATTAAGTTTCTTCATTAATCAACTTTAAATTATTATTTACAAACATACATCAATGGCCTCTTGTCCTTGCATTATGGAGTAATGAATTTGGAAAGTAATAGATTTAGAAAGCTTCAGTGTCTTGCAGCTTAGCACGTACACATCTGAAATTATCCACTGCACTGACATGATGAGGAAAAAGACCCACCCAAAATACAGTTTCTCTCATTGCATCAGCAAACATATAGTCCAGTATTTCTAAGTCTTCCTTAGGAGTCACTAGTAGAACAAGAATAGCCATAGCAGCTTTCAAGAAAAACTTAAGTAAAGATATCCAGATAACCAGACAGAATAACTATTTGATCAAAAACAAGCAAACAAACAAAACCAAACAAAAAAAAAAAAAATCAAAAAAACTCAAAACACAAAAAACCCAAAAAACACTTCCAGACAAAAAAAAGAGAAGAAAGAAATGTGTATGGAGCAAGAACCAGAGTATTAAAGAGCAGCACAAGCTGGGACAGGAAGAACTTGGTAACTTCACCAAAGCAGCTGATACAAACATTCAAAGAATGAATTCTAAGAGTCTTCATCAGCTCACCTGGGACAATTCAATTAAAGCATTGAATAAAGCAGGGAAAATCAGGAAAAATGGTCAGCCAGCAAAACATTTCAGGAGTATAGAACACAGGTCAACATCATGGGAAACAAATTTCAACACACTCAAGCATCCCAGCTTAGGCCTCCTGTTGCAATTAAAGACACAAATGAGGAAATGAAATATTTCAATGAGAACTACTACTAGGGAAAATGCTGAAAGTTTGAGATGATGTAATGGTTAATAAAATCCTTGGATTTTCACAGATTATAAGGCAAGCTTCCAGAAAAGTCTCCAGATCAGTAGATAAAATGGGGAAACGCCCCTGCATGTCTAGAAAATGCTGAGGAGAGCCAATCTAACAGTCTGTAGCTAATTCAGACTCCTCTTTTGGTGACAAGTAAAGTCTCTGTCTAGATGATCCTGTACACAGTCAGGGAAATAGCTGGGATGAGACTAGCCCTACAGTCAACAGATTTCAAATGAGAAAATCATGTGACAGAACACAGTCATCACAGATAGCACTGACAAGTACTACTAGCAGTAACTGCTATCATAAAACATAGTAATACCAAAAGACCATTTGACTTTTTCTTCATAATTATCTTTGGGATGCCCTGTACTGCTACTAACATAATTAAGATTCTTCAACCAAGAAGCAGAATGCAGAGTTGAAGTAAATGAGGAAACAAATGGGGAAAAGTGATTCAGAATAGGTAGGAGTTTCAAAGGGAGTATCAGTCACTCACCTTCACCACAAGGCATGGTTGGTGCTCTTATTGTGAGAGACAGTGCATCAGCTACAACCCAGACACTGTTTTGGTCCAGGACAATAGACTAAATTAACTACATTTTGCTGACAATGGAGATCTGCTAAGAGGCAATTCAGCCAACATGCAGATAAAGACTAAGGAAAGAGTATCCAGCTTTGAGTTTTTAATCAGCTTTGATTAAATAAATCCCATGAGAAATCACAGCAACTTTTAACTCAAGGATTGCTTCAGAGGCAAAACAATATACGAAATTAGTCAATTCACACACCAGCATTGAGAAAGGTTCTACAGAAATCTGTTGGCTGGTAAGCTGGAAACTGCATTCACTGGCTTGAATGTGTTCAGAAAGTGAAGACTTTTCAAGGCTTTGTCAAAAAACTCCAACGTGGATGGTGGATATTTCCATTTGACTGTGTAGTGCAGTGGTGGAACAACTGGGACAAGGAGAAGGTTTCTACCTCCTTGTGGGGTGGTGGATTTCACCTGATATTTGCTGGCAATGGGGAATTATGAGACTTGAGATATTTGGCTTCAAACCTGAGTCACGGATGAGAGTATTCTGTACGTGCTTCCTTGGTCATGCCATTGCCCTGACTTTAAGGCAGGCCTGCTGCCTTCTCCTTGCTCCAGGTCTTCCCCTGGCTCTATGGCATGGTTGTGAACAACCACAAGCAGTGATTCTTAACAAGACTATTGAGAAGCCTGTCCCAGATGCACCACCAGTAGTACCCTCCTGGGATTTTTGTTTCTATAGACAAACAGCAACCAGATACATCCCATTCATTACTAGAAAACTACCCAGAATGGAGTAAAGGTAACATTTCTGTGGGAGTGGCTGATGTAAAACATGAATTCATTACATAAAATTTGAAGTCACTGCTGCTTTGTTGCCACATGCAGCACAATTAGATTTCTCAACATGAAAAGTGGTAATCACATGTCATGGTGTTGCAAAATGAAGTAAAGCAGCAAAAAGAAAGGTTTTTTTGCATTCCATCAATTAGCAAAAACAATTAACCTATCTTTTGTTGCTTTCAAACCTGGTTCAGTAGTTGCTTGCCTTTTTCTGTTGGTGCAAGGGCCAAGAAAGGTGAAGAGTTGGAAACACCAAGGTACCTGATACAGAACAGATCAATCCAGGATTAGCCTTATACTGGCTTTTGAAAGAAAACTCACCAGATTTTTCATAATTAATAGTTTAAGCATAAACTCAATAAGTTCTTTAACATCTAGGACAGCTACAAGAGTCAGAAAAAGTCAACTATTTTTTACTCCCACAAATTTAGTAGCAGTAGTATTTCAGCATAAAGTAAGAGACAAGAAAGAGAATTCTTTCTCATTCACTGTGAGTTCTCCATGCTACTCAAACCTTTGTGCCCACAATGTTGAAGGTCTTTTCCCTTTCAGATGCTGCTGTCAGTGATCCTGTCTGTCATGGGATTCGCAGGAGGAGCATATTGTGTGGTCATCTCTTTGTTGGGGCTGATTGGGGGTCCTCTGTGTGACACAGGTGATGGAGAATACCTCTACCCTTTCAGGAATGACACTCTGGAGTGAGTATGGCTAACAAACTCCTCCAATTTTGCTTTCCCTTATCCCTCCCCTATCTTTTTAGAGTGAACTTGGATTTTTCCAAAGTGAACTGACGGTTCACCCTGTGTACACATAAACTCAGACTTCTGGGAGTAGCATGTTCCAGCTGGTCATTTCTTTGACCAAGGAATCATCCTTGGGCAAATTGCCTGAGTTTCATCTGCTGTGCTTGCCACAAGCCCCTTGTGCAATTTGCACCACGCTTTCAAAATTCCGTGAGCTGTGACTCCCACTGGAGTCAAAAGGAAATGTTTGCTTACTGTGCCACATTAATCTGTTAAATTACAAAGAATTCAGCCTGCTCCACCTGCTTCTGAAAAGCAAAGCAAAAATCTTCTCTAAATCTAAAAAGCCAACCTTGACAACTATGCTCTTCAAATCAGAGCTAGAGATAATGAATGGACTGGGCTGACATACCACAGCAGGAATGGAGAATGTGGAGACACATTTTAAAACCTTTCTCTTTAGTTATTAACATAATTTTGCCATACAACAAAGAGGAGATTCTTGTGCATGCAACAAAGTACAGATGTGGCTCTCTTCCCTAATTATCAATTGCATCTCTGCAAAGGGAATTCTGGGGAGAATCAGCAGCTTTGACCAATTATAGCACCATTTGAGACTCACTTTGTGCAGTCAAGTTCAGAAAATGAAATGCCAGAAAACAGAGAAAGCATTCCGAAGTTTTTACTTTCTAATACCTTGCCATTTTTTTTCCTCTATCACAGAGACAATTATTTGTTTAACCAGACAACATGGAGTATTTGCAAACAACCTGAAAACATCATCCTTTGGAATATTGTCCTTTTCTCTATTCTCCTGGTCATTGGTGTGATTGAAGCTATTCTTTGTTTCATTCAAGTCATCAACGGACTCACTGGCTTCATTTGTGGCACATGTATGAGGAGAAGAAAGGTTGGTATGCAGTAAAAGGGTGCTTTATGTTCTTTCCAGTTTTATTTCTCAAGCTCTGGTGATGGTACATGAGCTGAGAAATCTGCACAGTCCCTGGACAAGTTCCTCTGGGCTGTGCAGATGCATTTGCACAGTCTCTGTCTGTCACATCAAAGTCAGGGATAACCTGATCCTCAGATATTTCTAAACAGCAGTATGACATACTGACATACTCATTGCATGGCTTTATTGCTATTTAAGAAGCCTTTTTGATAAAGTATAATGACCCTTCCCAGTATATGTAAGTGAGAGACAAAAAATTGGTCAAACGTAGTAATGTTGTTATTTTACTGAATGGAAGAAAACATCTTTCAAATTTCATTTATCACCATTGCTTCCTTTTCATTGTTTCTTTTCATTGTACAAGATATTTGCAGTAAGTCAGATATCCTCTGAAATATTAATTAATCATCTTTCATTCATTGCCTTTCAGACAAATATTTCTGGAATGTGAATGACCTACAAGGAATGCCAAGACAAGCCCCAAAATGCTGATTCACATGCAAAAAGGATAGTGCACTGTACTGTTTTATTTATGGGGGGACAACAACAAAAAAAAAATGTTCAGATGTTTCACAGGGCAAAACTATTTTTTTATGAAGAAGTCAAGGTGGAAAAGGGCTAGATCATTTCAGTCTGAGACTCCACATTTTCATCTCTCTAAACATACCTGCCAAACCTCAGGTACTGGCAAAAACCATTAATCTGTCTGGCCCTTACTGCTGTACTTGTGTATAAAGCACAACAGTCCTCAGATAAAAGGACCTCTCATGTATGTGGGAAATGGAGCTATTGCTAATGTATACATTTATCAGCTGCATGAAGCAGGCACTCTCTGGCTGATGTAAATAATGTCCCATGCTCCCCAAATCTGACCATGAGCTCACCTGTCTGCTCCTATTAATTTTCGAATGGGGCACTCATAGATTTGAATGAGGATGAGCAGAGAATATATGGAGCAGTGTTTGAGACACTGCAGAGGAACTGAAGAACACGGGTTCCAGCCTCTTTCTGCCACCCTGGAGCCAGATCCCCTTGCCAAAGCCCAGGACACTTCTAAATTGGCTCTTCAGGAACATCTGAGAGTTGTGGCAGCCTTAGAGGAGCATTTGGGTCAACAGAGGTAGCAGGGTTTGCAGCAAGAGTTTAGAAACGTCTGACTTAACAAAAGGGTGAAGAACCTCACCACCAATTTTGCCTTCATGAAACTGCCTAAGAATTTCACTAACTTCCACACAGGTCTGTAGGGCTGCTCTAGAATAGAGCACATGGATCAAGGAATTAACTCACCAAAGATAAATGTAGTAATAATGTGCAGCTTAGAAATAAATAGAAGATATAATCTGAAGGCAGCAGATTGCATCAGCTTTAGTTTTTTAGCAACTGTAATACCAACCAGGAACTGCATAATTCCCCATCATCACTCAAGAGCAAGCCCTTGATATTGAGCTAATGTCCATGACTGGGAAGTTTCAGAAAACTCATCATTTCAGTGACTTCCTCAAAGGCTAATTCTTGGACAGGAGCTGTCAGTCAAACTGTGAAATAATCTTTACCCATCCTGAATGCATGTAGGCAGCTATGAAAACCTGAATATATTTAAAGCACTTGGAGCCTATTTCTTCTGATTTATGTTTTCTCAAAGTTGTTTGTATTTCTGTGCTGTAGCATGGGAACAAGCTCTTTAAATACACTTATTGCAGACATATGTGGCAGCTTGCACTGTCCTTTAATGCAACATGCAAAATGCTTCACATTCTCCTTTATATCAAAATTAGAAGAAAAGGCCAGTTGCCTAGATGAGGTGCATATGCACCTTGGAGCATAGTTTCACCCCTAGAAGGAGGAAATTTAACCTATAAAATTTAAATGCAACTTCTGTAAAGAAGAAAGCATAAGACTTGTTGAAGTTTGCCATCCATCACTAGGTGCATCCAAACCTGCCAGGTGGCTTAAAAAGCTCATGTTCTTTGCCAGCAGGGAAGCATGGACAGTGCAACCACATACAGCTGACAGCAAACCAGGAAAGAGTTAAAGAGGCAGTGAGAAAGAAGGATATTTGCATGTAGTCAGGTGGAGAGAGGCTCCTTCATCAGCACAGGGGCTCTATGAACCCTTCACAGTCCCTAAATACCTGCCCTTCCTCATCCCTTAGTTTTGACTCCCTTACTCTCACCTCTGGGATAAAGCCAACTCTGGCTGTGCTAGCGCCAGGAGAGGAAGAGATACACACTGACACACCTCCAGCATAGAAAAATAAGTGCACTGTGCTGCTGCCATCTGCTTGTTCCAGGCTGTCCTGCCCTGGGGATGTCTGTGTGCTCCTGGGAACACCCTCTGTCCTGCCAACTGTGTGACCACTGGCCTCACTGATATGTAAATATTAAATATTGCTATTCTGAACTTATTTTCTGGCTTGATTTGTGTGGTCTGAAGGACTTGTGAGCTCAAACTACCTCCAATAGGAAGATAAATGGGATAACAGAGAAAGCAGAGTTAAATCATCTGATTTGAATCACCATGAAGAAGACTCTTCTAGGGTAGGCATCAAGATACACAGGCCATGGGGAGAGGCACCCTTCCCACAGCCCACACTGAAAGAGATGCCTAAGGCAAGTGGGAGGCATTGCCCTGCTGAGCAAGGTTCAGTTGTCCACCATGGACAGGAACATCTGGTGCCATTTGAAATGCAGCAAAGAACCCAGGCACAAATGTCCAGAGATCCAAGAGTCTCATCTGGAGCTAACAACATGAAGGTGTGGCTGACCAAAGCAAACAGCTGTCTCTTGCAAACACAAGGATGCTAAAAATTCATCTAATGAAAACACATAAAGGTGACTAAAATTAGATAAAATTATTTCAGCTCATGCTTTTTTGGATCTCCCAAATCACCTTTTACATGAGGCAAAACCTGTGCTCTCAGAAGTGACACCAGAGCCTTTTGCAGGGGCCAGCCAGCACACTGCAACAGGGGCAGCTCCTCATGCCAAGCACTGCAGGGAGACCTGCAAACCCTAACTCTTCTGGTGGGCAAGGCTTCAAAATAAAATGTCTGCATAGTACTAAATATAATAAAAACTTTGATTTGAACAGGGAGTTGGCCTGACTGAAGACATCATGGTTCAGAATTAGGATTACTACAGATTTTAAATTATTTGCTTTGGGTTTTTATCCAAAATAAAAAGAATTCTCTCAGGGAAATCTCCTAGCAAAGGAAAAGAGCAACTTTGTCCTTAAGAGGTTTTTTTTGTAATGTGTACATGAAGAACTTAGTAAAACTAAGACACTTATTCTTCTATATCTAACTATTCTCTACATTCATCCATCCATCTATCTATCTATCTATCTATCTATCTATCTATCTATTTTTCTGTATCTATCGACTTTAAATAATTAATAGTCAAAAACTACCCAGACATAAAGACAAAAGTGTTTGTGTCATTTTGATATTAATTCACTGTGCAATCACACTACACAGGCTCTGATTGAAGGACTTGAATATGTTGGGTTTGCATCAAATTATCCCTCTCTGTCCTGCCTTTGAAACTCATGCAGGAGATCAGCCACTTGCAATTACACTAACTTGGGACAGGAATAAAACTTTAGACCAAGGACATCATCTGAAAAATGTAAATGTTTGGAGACCAACAGCCCAGTGTTTCAGCTGTCAGGATCAAGGACACAATCCAAATACCTGGGCTAGACACCGCAGACTAGTTCATACCCTCTCATCTCAAGAAGAACTGTCAGTTCATTTTGATGCAAATGGCTTGGATGCCTCAGGCCTCGGCACTCGATGTTCTCGATTTTTTTGGCTTGCAGAGCAAACTAAACCAGTGACAGGTTCATCCTTGCAGACCTCAGAGTGCCATGGCCTCTGCTCTACTGCCCCAGTCCCAGTCCTGTGCCCCTGCTCCCAGGTGAACTCTGCTGTGCAAACAAACTTTAAAAATCCCAAAGGGAATTTTAAAAAACCCCAAACCTTTCCAGACTCTCAGAGTGCCTTATTTAAGCCCCTACAGACCACCAGCTCTTTGGGCTTGTCCCTTTCCAGAGGAGTGACAGCTACCCTTCAGAAATGCCCTTCCCTCTAGGACCCCTCTCACCTGGAAGCACCCCTTTTCTCCTGAGCCCATGGGCCACAGAGAGCCATCCAAAGCCCATCAGCAATAATGTAGCACATTTTACCCAGAGAGGAAGAGCAAAGGCATGGTCTTAGCCACAGGGGCCACTGCTTTGTCCGTCTTTATTTCCTCAGCTGCAATGCTGAGTAGCTCACTACAGTGCTTACACTAAACAAAGCTGTAAGTGCTCACTACAGTGCAGATCATTTCTAGAATACATGGAAAACTTCACTGTACACAGCACTCCTCACTTCCTCTGTTCTTATCAACAACCCATGTCAGAGTCTGTTACATCAAAGTCAACTAATAAGGTGTAAGAGTTAAGAGGTCAGCTGAGTATTGTAGAGTCACAGAATGGTTTGAGTTAGAAGGGACTTTACAATCATCTAGTTCCAACCCCATGACACGGGCAGGGACACCTTCCACCAAGCTGGGTTGCTCAGAGCCCTGTCCAACACAGCCTTGAGCACTTCCAGGGATGAGGCATCCACAACTCCTCTGGGCAACCTGTGCCAGTGTCTCACCACCCTCACAGTAAAGAATTTCTTTGTGGTACCTAAACCTACCTTCTTTCAGTTAAAAGTCATTACTCCTTGTCCTGTCACTACATGCCCTTGTAAAAAGTCACTCCTCAGCTTTCCTGTATTCCCTTCAGGTACTGGAAAGGATTTGTATCCCCCAAGCTCAGAACCATCAGAGATACGCCAGAACATCTTGGCTGCTATTCCAGGAGGGCAAGGTGTTTCCAACAGGGACTGTAATCTCTGCTTGGCCAAGTGGACATCTCAGAGGTTTTATAGCACCTCAGGTGGCACCAGCCACCTCCATGCGAGCATTCAAATCAAGCTCTGAAACACATACTGGGTATAGTGACACTGCTTTTAGAAGCAACCCTGAGTTCATCAGTCTGAGACATGTCCTCACTCTGTCCTGCCTCACAAGACTAGAAACAGGTCAGTCAATTCCCCCTAAGATTTGTCCCCATGGGTTACTCTGGGAGCTTGAAGTGAGCAGCACAGCAGCTGGCACCCAAAGCTGCAGCCCTCCAATATGAGCAGGGAGTGAAACCCACTTCAAAAATCTCTTCATTGGTGAGATTTCTTTTTTTTTTTCTTTAAAATAGATGCATTAGCTGAGAGTCATTTAATGGCAAAGGAGTACAATAACAGATTCAGTGAGGAACTGGTCTTCTTGGTATAAGCTTATAATTTTACAGCCCTTGCACTGTATATCAGCAAAAACACTCCAGATTCAGATGAACTACCTTACACAACCTCTTTCTCTAAGCTACCTTCATCCCATCATGCCATGTTTTCACTTCATTGTGTCC